TACTAAGTTTTTCCATGATTAGTAAATACTGTTTTTGCTTAAAGATAACATCATCTAAAAAGGTGAAATTAATACAGAATTTAAATAACTTATTAATTAGAATAAATTTAAAAATGAAAACAATTCTTGTAAAAATTCATTACTTATCGATTCTTTTGTTATTTATATTTAACAGTCCCCCCCTAACAAGGAATGTATGTGGCGCAAGGCCGAGCTTAACGTGAGTTTCTCCGAGCCCGTAGGCTCGGACCAAAATATTCCCTTTGAATCCGCCTAGACGGGTTCAGGGACTGTATACCTCCTCAAACGAAACTTTGCCCTGCGACAAAGCCGCGTCCAAGTTCCTCTCTGTCGAGGCAGAGAGTTCAACAGAAATGAACAGTCTGGTCAATTCTTTTGTTATTTATAAAAACAAAAGCTTTTCTAATTGAATAATGTCATAGTTGCATTTCACTTTTATTTTACGATTCAGAGAAGATTTTCGGTAAATGTGTTTCTGTTTGACTAATTGATGATTTAAAAAGATATCCGAATGCCTCAAGCCAGGACTGAAAACCGACCTATATATATATATATATATATATATATATATATATATATATATATATATATATAGGTAACTATACTCGTTACGAAAAAACCTCGAATTATTGATTTGCCAATAATCAAATCAATCACGAGGGGAAAGAAGGTTTTAAAAAACGAAAGAGCTAGAAACATGAAAGTCTGTCGAAAAAAAATCGCACAGATACAGGTCTGAAGCCCAAAGAAAAAAACCCGATACGAGTAAACAACTAACTAACAAAAGAGCTCAATACAACCGTAGAACAGACCTAGATAAACCTAGTGAGCCAGACAAACCTACCTAGGTTTCATCTAAGCGGATCGTCAGGGAAAGCTGGCTTTGCCTGACGATCCGCTTAAGTGAAACCTGGGTTGGCTCACTAGGTTTGTTTATCTCTCTCTCTCTCTCTCTATATATATATATATATATATATATATATATATGCATTTGTGTGTGTGCATTTAGGCAGAACTTCTTCTTTCATGCACATTTCAATGAATACGGCAGACAAGATTCTTTCATTTAGTTTTTTTATACAATTTCTCATGGGATCTAATAATTTGTTTTTTCTTTTCGGATGATAAATTATACAAAAACTGTTGAATTGTTCTTTTTATGCGAGCGCTTTCGGCTATACATTTAGCCATTTTCAAGGTAGAAATATGTTAACTGTTAACAAGAAAGATTGTTGTATGTATGTATTTATATAGCGTTTTCATTTTCAAAACACAGTCAAGATATTGTGCCCATGTTCATAGTTGATATTATTGAGTGTTGTTTTTTTGTTTTTATTTTAAGGCCTCCATTATAAATTGTATAGAGACTAAATGAAAGCACCTTGTCTGTCGGCTTCAATGAAATGTGCGCACACACACACACACACACACAAACACACACACACACACACACACATATATATATATATATATATATATATATATATATATATAGATAGATAGATAGATAGATAGATAATAGATAATATTAGTGGTAAATATACACATACATATGCAAAATATATAAATATATATACATACATACATACATACACATACATATATATTTGTATTAAAAAATTCCAAGAGGATAGAATCCAGGTAGAACTCAATGTCCAGGACAGAGTAAGGATATAATAAAAAGGCTTAAACACTAATATTCCATGGTCATAATTTATTCCATTGGAATCGTAAATATGATCAAATTCATCAGACCTACAAATTCAAAAATTTTTTGAATTTGTACGTCTGATGAATTGGATCGTATTTACGATTCCAATGGAATAAGTTATGACCATGGAATATTAGTGTTTAAGCCATTTTTATCATATATATATATATATATATATATATATATTTGTATATTTAGGCAGCAATCCTTCCTTTATGCATGTTTCATTAAAAACGACAGACAAGGTACTACAGTTGAGCTTTTTATTTAATTTTTTCTTGTGTTCTGACAAGAGCTTTCTTTTCTGGACAAAGGGTGTGTAAGAACTGTCCAAATGTTCTATATTTCAAAGCGCTTTCAGCTATACCTTTAGCCATTATCAAGGATGATTCGATTATCAGCTTATTGTAGAGTGTTATGTGTTCTGTGTATGTCCAGAAAAGAAAAGCTATTGTCAGAACACAAGAAAAAATTAAATAAAAAGCTCAACCGTAGTACCTTGTCTGTCGTTTTTAATGAAACATGCATGCATATATATATATATATATATATATATATATATAGTTATTTCTTATCTGTTATATTTAGTGGATATATGCTTCTGAGTAATCCCTGTTATCTTAAGTAGTGAACTGAATGTCAACCGTCATCGAGATCAACGAGTCGAACGAAAACAAAATTTGTTTCCAAAGAGGAAACAAACCTGCATTTAATTTTTACATCATTGGAACCTCTTTTTGAGTCAAAATCTGACCCTACCAATTAGGTCATGCAAATATATATATATATATACACAATCATGCAGACAAAAGAACGAGGTAATAATAAATGAAATAATAAAGCGTGAATGAGGGGGGGGCGGGGGTATGCCAAGTGTCCAGTGCAGAAACGACTTTACCAGGCAAGAACAACATCGACAGAATTAAATCAGTTAATTAATAAGTTGTATTTAATTGATGCAATTAACGTTGCTAAGAATTCGGTCAGGTTTTTTTTTCTTTTTTTTTTTTTGATTTTCGATTGATTCTGTTTTACGATTTTTAGGTTTTCTCTTTAGTCTTTGGACTCCCAACCCAGTCGTTGCGTTGTTGCTGTTAGTTTTACAGAAATTGTTTCCAGCATCATCATTTTCCCTTACTTCATATCTCAGTTTCTTCTTCTTCTTCTTCTTCTTCTTCTTCTTCTTCTTCTTTTTTTCTTTCTTTCTTTCTTTTTACTTGTTGCTTTTCTTCTTCTTCTTCTTCTTTTTTCTTTCTTTCTTTTTACTTGTTGCTTTTCTTCTTCTTCTTTCATTTTAATTTCAGTTTTTTTCTTTCTTTTTACTTGTTGCTTTTCTCTTCTATCTTTTTTATTTCTTCTTTTTTTACTTCATTTTGATTTTGATATTTCACTCTCCACTGTTCATATTTTATTTCTTTCTCTCTTTTTCTTCTTTCTCCTATTACCTTGCCTTCCTCTCTTTCAGTTTTTATTCTTCTTTTCCTGCATTTTATCTTTTGTCCTTCTTTCTTCTCCGAATTCATCAGCTTCTTTCAATATTTTTTCTTCTTTTTCTTTTCTCTCCTCACATTCTTTTAACCACTCTTTCTTGTTCCTTTTCTAATTTGTTATTATTCCTCCATCTTTTTAAACTTTATTTTCGAACCTCCATTGATCGACATTTTTCCCAACCTCTACTCGCCTATCCTAATTTCTCTTTTCATTTTCCTTCTTTCTTGTATTTTCTTTTTCGTTCCTTTGTCTTCCTCTTTTCCTTATTGAATTTATTATTAGTTTTTTTTCATCTCTTAACGTATTGCCTTTCTTATTCTTTCTCTTCTCTTTCTCTTCTTTACCCTTTCTTTTTTATTTTCCGCCATCTTCCTTTTATCTCTTTCTTCTTAGTTCTTTTTTCTCTTTTTCTATGTGTCTTCTTCTTCTTCTTCTTCTTCTTCTTCTTCTTCTTCTTCTTGTTGCTGCTGCTGTTGTTGTTGTTGCTGCTGCTGTTGTTGTTGTTGCTGCTGCTGTTGTTGTTGTTGTCGTCGTCGTCGTCGTCGCCGCCGCCGCCGTTGTTGTTGTTGTTGTTGTTGTTGTTGTTGTTGTTGTTGTTGTTGTTGTTGTTGCTGTTGCTGTTGCTGTTGTTGTTGTTGTTGTTGTTGTTGTTGTTGTTGTTGTTGTTGTTGTTGTATGGGTGCGCATTCAAATATCCTAATGATTAAAACTTAACAGCTGATCTCTCTTCTGATTTAGCTCTTACAGCTCAACTGGTAAAAGACTGGTTGGTATCATTCAATACATCCAAAACTAAACTAGAAACATTTCAACACCACCAAGCAGACCCTAAACCCGCGTCAATCCTGATGAGTTGTTATATCTTTAAAGAGGCTTCTTGTCTCGAACGACTACTGCGTCTAAAGTTCCTTCCCAACTTTAAATGGAATGTGTGTATTCATAGCATCACAAAAGATGCTGGAAGAATTGTCACTGACATTCTCTCTCGTTGCAAAATCTGATCACACAAAGAATAGAGTATTTTGCTATATCTGGACTGGTGTTGTCTAATCCATATTGTCCAAAAGCGCGGCCTTGCGTGTGATGAATTATTTTCCACTCCACGACCTTTATTCCTCTCTTTACTCCATAGCTGACGTTCGGACGAGTTACATCCCTTGGTTCTATCAGTTCAGGCCTTCACAGCTAAGCTCAGCGATACCAAGTTCTCGGTAGTAAACCATCCCTATTCGTATCCTTTTGCCAAGGAGCAAGTTCCACTCAGATAACTTCCTCCTCCTAACTGTTGCTTTGTGAAACAGGCTCCGGAGAGGTTGCTTCCCTTATAACTACAGTCTTTATCTCTTTAATCTAGATTCAGTCGGTATCTATCTTACTCGTCCGCATTATATATATTTCTTAATTCCCCCTCCCTTACAACAATCACACTTAGTAATCATTGAGTGGTTCATGGGCCTTGTATTAAGTAATTTAACAGTAAACAGTTTAAAAAGGGGACTTGTATTGGGTGAAGAATAACATATAAAAACACACTTCTTATTAGATTTAACATTTATTTTGATGTCCTCTCTGGTAAAATGTTATTATTTTCTGAACACGCTAATCACCGTGCCTAGATGTAAATATAAATGTCCATAGAATTGTTCAATTGAGTTTTGATATTATTGGTTTCCATTGTGTTACAAACACACGTCAATATGCATCAGAGTATTTGCTAAACAGATGTCTTCTGCTTTGTTGGATTTCTAGCCTGACCACGTAGGACACGAATGACAATATGTTTGATTATTATAAGACACTCCCCGTTATTAGCGATATAGAAAAACTGACTTTTTCTTCTTTGTATTCTTCTTCGTTGTATTCTCCATTGTATATTTCTTCGTCTCCGTTTTCTTTTCATTCTTCTTCTTATTCTTTTTCGTCCTTTTCTTCGTCTCCGTTTTCGTCTTCATTTTCTTCTTGTTTTTCATCTTCTATTCCTTCTTCTTCTTTCTATTTTTCTTCTTCTTCGTCTAATTTTTATTTTTATTCTTCGTCTTCTTTTTCGTCTTCTTCGTCTTCATTTTCGTCTTCTTTTTCGTCTTTTGCTCCTTCTTCTTCTTCTCTGTTGTATTCTTTTTATCGTCTTCTTCTTCTTCTTCTTCCTATTCTTTTTCGTCTTCTTCTTTGTCTTCTTTTACGTCTCCTTTCTATTCTTCTTTTATTCGTTTTCTTTTCTTCTTTGTATTCTTCTTCGTATTTTTTCCTCGTTTTCTTCTTCGCATTCTTTTTCTTCTTCTTTGTAATTTTCTTCGTATTCTTTTTCGTCGAATTCTTCTTTGTATTCTTTTTCTTCTTCTATCTCTTTTTCTTCATTTTATTCCTCTTCTTCGCATTCTTTTTCTTCTTCATCTTCTTTGTAATCTTCTTTTTCATATTCTTTTTCCTCGTCATCTTCTTCCTCGTAATTTTTTCCTCCTTTGTGTTCTTCGTCTTTTTATTCTTCTTCATATTCTTTAGCGTCTTCATCTTCGTTGTCTTCTTGTTTGTCTTCTATTCCTTCTACTTCTTTGTATTTTTCTTCTTCTTTGTATTCTTTTTTTTTGTATTTTATTTCGTCTTCTGTTTTGTTTTCTTCTTCGTTTTCTTCTTTTTCTCCATCTTTTGTCGTCTACGTTTTTTTCGTCTTCTTTTTTGTCTTCTTTTTCGTTTTCTTTTTCTTTTTATACTTCTTCGTATTCTTTTTCATCTCCTTCTTTGTATTTTCTTTCTACTTCTTCTTTGTATTCTTCTTCGTCTTCCTCTTCTTCTCTGTATTCTTTTTCTTCGTCTTTTTTCGTCTTCTTATTCTTCTTCTTCAGAACATGATTGTTATCCTTTGTAGTTTTCTCCTTATGTTATGTATCCCCGCATACCTATGTCCGCTATTTATTCACTCAAACTCGTCAGTTATGTGGTCCCTACATTCCTCTATCTGCCTTACCCTCAATATGAGGGTTAAGTTTTTCAAACCTTCCCTTCTCATTACGCATCAAAGTAATTTTAGCTGTCCTTTCCTTATTCTTTTTGTTGCCATTTTCTTTCAGTCTTCCTCGTTGTTTACTCGCTTCGTCCTTAAAATTCTTAGTATCCTTCTGTAGGGACATTTCTATTGCACCCCACCCATAAGGAGATTGCCCACCATTTTAAGAGGATGGATTTAAATAGCCAAACGGTACTATTTTTTTTGTTTCCATAGTATTATCTAGTATACGGAAATCAGAACAAATGTCTTCCAAAAGCTAAGCAAAGTTTTTAAAATGGAGAACATTTCGTTTGAAACAAAAGAAAAAGAGTGCTGAACTGCTGATTAGTATCAATCCTACTCTATGGCAGTGATTGATGAACAATTTCTTCACTGATAAAGAGGAGACAAGGCAAGAGAGATGTTCTACAGAAGGATGCTGAGAATACCCTGGCCAGAATCCATGAGCAGTTAACCAATATTTAAGACAATGGAAACAAAAAGGACATTTATACTTATAAATATCTGCATCAGAATCAGAAATAGTCAACTGAAATTCCTGGACTGAAAATGAGGAAAGATGGCTTTGAAAACTTGACACGCACAGGACATATTGAAGGCCAAAAAAAGGTTGAAGGAAACAGTGAAGAAAGGGTGAGAGAGATCTATAAGATGAAGTTTTGGAGAGCCATAACCTTTCACGTCCTGAAGGGACACGGCATATAAAAAGAGGATATTTTCAAATAATATATAATTACATGTGTTAGATAATGTTAATTATTGTTGATTTTTGTATGTGTGTGTGTGTGTGTGTGTGATTTTTAAATTGTTGTTGCAGTGTGGAGTTAGAAGACTCAGCATTTCCCGTCTAAGCGTGGGTGTCTTCGAAAAGTCATTGTCACAAACAGTAGCCGAGGATGAAATGACTAAATGGTGCTTGCATTTGAGCAACCAATAAAATACATAGATTATCACAGGCCATGTGCTTTGTACGGGAGGGAGAGAGAGAGAGGGAGGGATGGAGGTGGGGGGAACAGTGGTGTTGGTAGTTGGGGTTGTAGTCAGTTGACAAGATGTTAAATGCTGCAACGCCTCGGTCAGAAAACAGAATAATAATGATTGAGGGAAAGAAAAAAGGAATTGAAGACAGGGAAAATCAAGGTGATAGTGAATACGACAATAAATAACATCAACAACAACAACAACAATAATAATAATAATAATAATAAGAAGAAGAAGAAGAAGAAGAAGAAGAAGAAGAAGAAGAAGAAGAAGAAGAAGAAGAAGATGAAGAAGAAGAAGAAAGGCGAAGACGATGGACAACAGCAACAAGAACAATAATAATAATTTATTTTATAGAATTAAAAATAAAAGTAAAACAACAACAACAGCAACTATAATAATAATAATAATAATAATAATAATAATGAGAAGAAGAAGAAGAAGAAGAAGAAGAAGAAGAAGAAATAAAGAAAGCCAAGAAGGTGACGAATAGCTACAACAACAATGGAAGAAAGGGAAAACCAATGTGATGGTGAAAAAGACAATAAACAATAATAATAATAATAATAATAATAATAATAATAATAATAAAGAAAAAAGGCCAAGACAATGGTCAACAGCAACAAGAACAATAATAATTTCTGTTATAGAATTAAAAATAAAAATAAAACAACAACTACAACAACAGCAACTATAATAATAATAATAATAATAATAATAATAATAAGAAGAAGAAGAAAAAGACAAAGAGTACCAAGAATGTGACGAACAGCTACAACAACAAAAATAAGAATTTCCTTTAAATAATAAAAAAATAAAAACAAAACAACAGCAATAAGAAGAAGAAAGAAAATCAAAGGGTTATTTGCGCGTATATGAATATAACGAACCCGACTGGAAGTGGAACTTGATTCTCTGATTAACAATTTCTAACCGTTATCCATTACTCCACCTGCACATCCCAACTTACAACACCTGATATTCCCAAGCGGTCTTCCATCAAGGTACTGACCAGGAATGACATTGCTTAACTTCGGTGATCGCAGGAGAACCGGTGTTTCGACGTAAGCCAAGAGATAGAAAAGGAAAAAAGAATGAAAGGAAAGGTAAAAAGAATGAATGAAAATTAAAAAGATAAATGAAAAATTGAATGAATTAATTATGGAAGGAAGAAATGTAAAAATTTACGTAAAAAAATATGAAAAATCAAATGAATGAGAAAAAGAGAAAGAAAAAGCGAAAAGAATGGATAAACATAATAAAAATTCAAATGAATAGAAAAGATAGAGAGAACAAATGACAGACGAAAGGAACGAATAAATGAGAGAAAGAAAGAACGAGAGAACGAATAAACGCCAAAAAAAAAAAAATACAAGGATACTAAACGGAGAAAGCGATGAGCTGGTGACGGGGCAACCAGTCAGGTAAAACGAAGAAATCGCGTGGGAGAGAGAAACGAGACGCAGTAACGAAGGTGGAGTCTGACCCCGAAAATGCATAGGCAAATTGAAAAAGGCAACTGTTTAAGAGCTAGTCACGAGTTATATGTATGTAGATACTTTAGTCCAGACAAAGAGAGAGGGTCGAAATGATTGGTTAGAACGAATCCAAAATTCTAAAATCAATTTAATTCAGTTCCAGTTTATATTCTTTCTCTTGACCTTCCAGGAAAGCCCGACAAGCTATGTACACATTGAATCATCTTTATTTACTTCGTATTTCATTAGTAAGGAAGAAGTTCGTTATCCCAAGAGCCGCTTCCCCGGCCATTTTTTAACTTTTCATATCTTCTCGTATCTATCCTGCATATCGTCAGAATCTTCAATTCTTCAGTTATGTGCCATTCGTGATACACGCTTAGGCGATCATGTATTTTTTAATACATGACTGACGAGGCAGATATTTTCCCGCAGTAAGTTGCCATTTCTTTCTGCAGTAGACCAGTTGCCATCCAAGGCTAAAAACCCCGGTCTGTTCTGCTATTTACCCATAATTAGGGGAAGGGGAGAAGAAGAGCATGAATACCTTTCCCAAGGGTATTAGTACGTAAGTGAATGCTATGGATTCGACGAATTCGAACTCGGCTCTCCGATTCCTCAATCCGAGCCGCTATCCATTACACCACCGTGCCTCAATTCTTCAATTCTTACGTTCATAAAACCCATTCAGTAATCATCGACATTGAGTGCCTCTTGAGCCTTGTATTGGGGGAACAGTAGCGTAGAAAAAGATGTGTCTACCTATTCGCTCCCTACTCATGGGTTAAAAAGTTGGGTTTTTATCTGAAAATCCAAGAAACTGTTAATACAATATACCCTCGCAAAAACAAAGAATTGTTCTTACAAACCAAAATATATTTCTGCTTTAAATAACCTACAAAGGTTGATAAGTCGTAAAAAAACCCCAAAATAAACAAAAAACAAACAAATCGTCAATCTTCTTCTAAAATTCCTTTTGGTATGTATCTGAGTTTGTGTGTATATACACGTTTGACCTCGAGGCAGGTCCAACACCATGAAATGCTATAAAACCAAAATATTAACTTGACATTTCTACTGATGTTGTTAAATGTCAGGTCAGATCAAAAAACTCCCGTAGAAATGTTAGGCGTCTAAATCGTTCAGAAATGTTCAAACTATCATTCATATACACAACTGTTTCTCGAACAAATGATGCGAGTGAATCCTTTCGGTCTTAAGAACGACAATGTTTCATCAGACAGTATAGACTGGCCCCACAAAACCACAAAGAGATTTACCAAAGAACAAAAACGTTCAAGACTTCCAACAACAACAGCAACAATAAAAAAAAGGACAGTACATGTAATTTGATTGGAAATTCATGATGCAATGAAGGAATTAACTTCCCCATTATCAAATTCAAAAGGTTTGGAAGGAAACTCCCATAAATATTAAAAAGAGCGATAACAGTTAGTGGAATATAATATGAAGATACTCCTGTTTCTGGAAAAGCCACGTTTAGGACTACAGATTCAAACGGATCAGATTCATGTCCAAGGCATGGATATATTCCACGAACGGGAAACGGTGAGTTTTGGATTTTTCCCAAATTGAGGACTGCGAGCTGGAGTTTCCTTCTATATCCGGGAAAGATATATTCCTAAAGGGAAACGGCACCGTGAAATTGTAAGCTGCAGGGAAGGCAGATTTATCCTCTGAGCCCATTGACCCAGACTAAAAAGAAAGCAAACTGTCGGACTGCAATTTGACTATCGCTTTGGTAACTAAGCGGCCGTCACGTAACCCACGTAACTTATCTCCATGAAGGGGAGATAATCGCCTATTGTATCCTTACACACGTAACCGTGAAAAAACAGTAAATAGAAATTTAGTAAACAAACCTATGCCTAGTAGAGTGGTTCTCAACCGGGGTCCATATGGACTATGCTAGGGATCCATGTAACATTACTGGTGTCCACACAAAAAAAAAATATATAGCAAATTGGGGGTACACGGTAATATTTTAGTGGTCCATAGAGCAATTTCAATTCGGAACGGTTGTCACAACTGAAAATTGGAATTTCTACAGTAATCTACGCCATATTAAAATACTAAAAATAAATATAAAACAACTCTAAAACTGGCAGAAAACGAGATCAAGCGATGTAAGTTTTAGCGTCCGTTTTACTCTACAGGATGTTTCGATCGTAAAAGATAAATAAAATATGAGAAGAATATATAAAAGAAAATTATATAAATATTCCTAAACTTATCCATTAATAAAACATAAAATAAGCTCTTTTTTTTCATCGAATGGTTATGGGGATCGATCAAAATAAGATTAAAAGTAACAGTTAACATATAAACGAACAATATTTACCTATACTTGACACAAGTAATCGTTTACAGACTCAAATAAAATATTAATGTTGAAATAGCCTCTTCTCTACAAGGAAACATTCGGCATTCATTGACCAAACAGAGTTACTGTCGTTTAAAATTTAGAAAATCTTTTTCTTAAAGCATTTTTTCAGGAAATTAAACTTTGCAACCATTGTTATCGTTCCTTCTAGTACTAATGGGAGTTTCCTTCCAGAATCTTTTGTTTAATATTCTATTGAAAATCAACATCATGATTATATCATTCTTTTCCATTCTTATTATATATGCTATCCATTTTAGTTGTTACTACTGTTGGAAGTCTTTAACTGATGTGGTTTATGTTTATGATTTTGTAGCGCTAATCTGGAGAGTCTGATGAAAGATCATCGTTGTCTTTCCTTCTGAGTATGAGAATCGTACGTATAACATGAAACATCATAGATTTATGCTAATGATAATAATGAAATTATCATTTATTCACCAAACATTTAATATTACTATCACGTGTAATTTATAAAATCTTTTCTTAAAACATTTTTTCAAGAAATGAAACTTAACAAATCCACTGCCATCGCTTTTTATAGAATTGATGAGAGTTTCTTTCCAAACCTTTTGTCTAAAGTGGTGTGGAAAGTTAACAACTGGTTTATTTAATTATTTTCTATTCTAGTTAAATATAAATGAGCAATATTTGCCTATACCTGACACAAGTAAATGTTTACAGACTTAAATATAATATTAATGATGAAATAGCCTTTTCCCTATAAGGAAACATTCAGCGTTCATTGAGCTAGCATTTAGTTTTACTGTCGGTTGAAATTTATAAAATCTTTTTTTTTTTTTCTTTTTCTCAGGAAAGAATATTTGTCAAGTCGACTGTCATCGCTCTTTCTAGTTTTGATGGGAGTTTCCTTCCAAACCTTTTGTTTATTGTAGTGTTGAAAGTTAAAATCCTGATGATATTATTATTTTCTCTTCTAGTTACATATAAACGAGTAATATTTACCTGCATCTGAACAAAGTAAATGTGGTACAGACTCAAATATAATGACGATGGTAAAGGTGAAATTATCCGTTTCAATTCAAGAAACTTTCGACATTCATTGACCAAACTGTTAGTTTTATTGTCAGTTGAAATTTATAAAATATATTTCTTGTATTGATAGGAGTTTCCGTCCTAATCTTTTGTCTATGGTAATGTGGAAGTTCGACGTATAGATTATATCATTATTTTACTTTCTAGTTACATAAAAATGGTCAACATTTACTTTTATCCGACCAAGTAAATGCTTACAGACTCATATATAATGATGATGATAATTAATGAAATTATCCAGTTTTATTTAGAAACATTCATTGACCGGACAGTTAGCATTATCATCGGCTGAAATTTATAAAATATTTTTTTTCTTAAAACTGTTGCTCACGCCATTAGTCCACTAACTGTTATTGCTCTTTCTTATATTGATGAGAGTTTCCTTTTAAGACATATGTTTAAGGTAGTGTGGAAAGTTAACATCTTGATTATATCATTATTTTCTTTTCAACTTACATAAAATGATCAAAATTTACTTATATTTGAGCCAAGCAAGATTTTACAAACTCAAATATGATGGCAATTGTAGAACTAACTGTTTCCACACAGGAATCTTACAGAATCTATTTCCCTTAAAAGAGTTTTTTTTTTCAGGAAATTAGACTTAAGTTCATCTAGTTTTGGAATCCAACTTCCATCAATCGTATTGATGGGAGTTTCTTTCCAAACTTTTGGTTTCATGCACTGTGGAAATTCAACACCTTGATTATATCCTTACAAGAGCTACACACTTTTGTTGTTGTAGTGCATTTTTCTTATTTGGTGAAGCTCTTTGGGATTACGAGGATAACTAGTAAGAAACACCCTCTCGGCAATGGCTTGTGACCCTCTTGATAAATGCCACCAGATTAAAAGCCCTTAACGTAGATACATTCAAAATTTTATTTTTTCAAGCGCCATATTTTTTTTTACCATAATGTTCACTCTTTACAAGGTTTGAGGTAGAGAGTTACAGAGTAAGAGACACAGTTTGTGTGGATATGTGCGGAAGAAAAAAGTAAAAGACGGCGAAAAAGTATAGCGAAAGTTGCCTTCCAAAAGCTAAACAAATTATTAAGAAACAGGAAAAATCGTTAAAAAAAAGTTAGTGCTGAACTGCTACATAATATCAATTCCCCTATATGA